CAAATCAATTGCTGGAATATTTTTCTTTCCCTTTCCCAACCCAAAATCTCACCCCAAAATAACTGCAAAATAGGTGTTTTCAACAGCCCCCTTTCTGAAGGTGTGGTTAATACTGATTCTACTCAACCAAAATTCAGTAATTCTGGGATTCTAGAAAGTGTTTTTGAAAAGACAATTACAAGTCTTTTAATTGGTGCTAATGAGAAACTTATCACTACTTTGCTGAGACCCTATTCAGGTAGCAAAGATACTGGGGCCTTTAAGAAGAACTTTCAAACAGCTTGTAAATTAAACCTTTGGGATACAGAGGAGAAAAGAATTTTAATGCTGAGAAAATACACTACCTGAAGAGTCAGATGTTGTTGAAAGCTTACCTTCCATGGCAACTGAAAATGAAATTTGGGATTCATTGGATGAAGAATTCAATCCAGATCCTATGGCTTTTAAAAAAGATATTGACAGATTGTAACAGTTTGATGCTGAAACTGTCAAGAGTTTTGTTAAAAGAAGTAAAGAACTTGTAGAAAATTCCTACCATTCAAAACTACAGAAATGGCCTGTGTTGCTGTGAGAGTTAGAGAGCTTCAACTTCTAATGGTTTTCAGGAATGCTATTAAGTATTACATCATTTTTGGATGTTCTTGTTTTTATATCATTGCATATATCACAACAGCCTTGTCCTTCAGTTTTTAAATTGAAATTACAAAAATTTATGATTACAATAATACTGACTTTTCAGACAGTCCTGATGAAAAACACGTTTGCATAAAGAGCATGACTCCATTGTTTGCATTAGGCAAATCATTTGATGGCAGTATAAGCAGTTGTCAGACATTTGTTAGATGTAAATGTATCTAAATTCCCTCTCTGTATCTAATTTGAAAGCTATACACAGAATGAATACATTAAAACAAGAAATCATTTTCTAAGCTGTCAACTGTCCTGGAGGTCAACTGTCCTGATGGGGGTCAACTGTCCTGATGGGGGTCAACTGTCCAGGGGTCAACTGTCCAGAGGGGGTCAACTGTCCGGATCCCCATTCTTGTTGTTTGTTGGGTGGTAATCTGTAAGGTCATAGTTTAAAAGGTTTTACATCATCCAACAATTCAATTGCCATAGGTGGAACATCTGGTGAGCCAATATCAGTTTGATTTGTAGCTATGATATTTTCATAGCTCTTAATGATTTCTTGTAGTTCTTCTCTGCTCTTTTCCATGCTATCTTTGGACACACTAGAGTAATTATCAATTTCTATTGTATTTATGCAAAAACTGTCTACACTATGGTTTGACAAATGTTCACACTCAAAAGCAACATCTAACTCTAATTCTTCTATCTCAGGAATGGGAGGGAGCTCTTGTTCTTTTTCTATTCCAATAGTTTATCCATCTTCCAACTCTATGAGTAGAGGTTCCATATCCATATTAATATCTGGCTTTTTGGTAGCCATCATGGTTATTCCATTATCCAACTTGATGTGTTGAGTTTCCATTTTCATATCTGTATCTGATTCTTCTTCAGAAGTGGTACTACTCTCTTCTTCAGACAAATTGATGATAATAGCTGTATCACCATCTAATTCTTCATTTGCATCTGATTCAAGACTTGTCAATGTATCATAATGTTCTGAGTTATTCTGACTCTGATCTATATCATAACTACTTTCTGTATCTGAGTCAACAATTTCCATATCGAAATCTTCACTATCTGATACTTCCAGTGGATTCTCAGCTGGTTCTTGGAAATGTAATCCAATCATTCCAACAGTTACTTTGTTATGTTTTCCTTGACTTCTTTTCTGTACTTGATCATTTTGTCTTTTTTGTATAAAGGTTTTAATGGGTTCTCCTTTTCTTATGAAGAATGGAAGTGAAACTTGTTTTATTGCAAAGTTGATTATTGCACCAGACTTTCTTAAGAAGTCACATCCTAGAATTATTGCCATATCCAATTTTTCCATTATGAAAAATTCTTGTTCCATTATTCTTCTTGCGAATTGTATGTTGAGTTTTGCTTTACCTTTAGTTTTTAAATCATTTCCATCAGTAGATGTTATTATTGGTAGTGCTGTGGTTTCTCTCTTCACTAATCTTTGGTCCAACAACTTGATTTCTTTCTCAGTGATAATGACATGAGTGCTCCTGTATCACACAATGCAATCACTTCTCTTCCATTATGATTTTTCAGACAAAATTGGAAATCATCTCTTGCTTTTATTTGAGAAGTACACTTGAAATGTGCCACTTTTTCCTCTTTCAGATTAAATATTGCAATTGTTCCTTTTGAAGTTTCTCTTTCATTTGGTTGATCAGGTTCAGCATGAATTAATCTGTTGAATGTTCCTTTATCATTATTTCTTCCATTTCCAAATCTTTGATATGGATTGTACACATACATTCGTCAGCTATATTCTACAATAGAGAAGTAGTATTGAACCAGTATTGTACTATGCAGATAGCACTGATAAAGATAAGCAGTAGTGACCTAGTTTCGCATAGGGCAGTGCATACACATTATGCAGTAATAAAACCTATTGAATTATATAAAGAATATTTGCTATTTGCAACCTAGCTGTACTTTGTTGTATTGTAATTGTAGGAAGTCCTAGCTCGTCACTATCAAATTCGTCCTCTCCAATCATTTACCAATGTGCCAAAGTACTGGTCCAAATAGAACCTTTCAAGTTCGTCCACAAGTAGTCTTAATAAATGTAATTCCAGTAAAAATTAACCAACAAACACCAGTATTTCATTCAAAGAATATGTATTTGAGTAAATGAGTTTCTAGTTCTAAACAAGCAAGTTTGAACAACCAGCTGATGGTTAGAAAACTAAACTGACTACTGTTAAATTTGTAGGGTTTATATACTTTTCCAATAGTTCACAGTTCACGGATAAAAATATTCACACAAACAAATGTAACAATTTGGATAAAGGGAAAGTTCAAATATACTTCCATGTTTGTTACTTTTTCTTTATCTTGGAGAACTTTTGCTCCCTATTTTAGTAGGTCAGAAAGTTGCCTAAGATGTAACAATTATTAATAGAAGTTGGATTGATTCCAAAACACAAAAATAGGAAAAGGTCAACTTGATGCAGTTTTAATATACAACAAATTATTAATAATAATTGTTTGTGTAAGATAATATGTTTCTGTGTAAAGGACTGGTAGGATAAAAGTATTAAACTTAATCATTCAATATAGTATTGTGCATACAATACTGTTGAAAAGTGACAATAATCTAAAAGCTCCAAATATAAATAGAATAGTGGAAGATATAATTAATATTCATTAAATATGATGTGTATAATAATTAGGGTTAACATCTAAGTTGTAAAATACTTTTACAACTTAGTTTAAATAGTGTATGTTGTAGTTTTAGGCATGTAGAGTACTCTATAATACTCTTTCAATATTGCTTTCCATTGATGAATGAAATGTAACAATTTGGGTGTATTGTGTGAATTTGTGAGCCTGGTTACAAGCTTATGTGTTTAGTACCTACGAACTGCCTAAATGTGTACACTAGCATTAATATTACAATTTATTAATCCATAAATTTATGATTTCGAACTAAAACTAGTTCAATTAATTATCAATTATGCTTAAATTCTAAGTTTAGATTATATTCACTATTCAACAGTATTGTATACACAATACTGTTCTTTTTAACATGCATTAATCAGATATACTTCCTCCTTATATGCTGATGCTAAATTTACTAACTCAATCAATTGAATATCATTATTAAGGTAGAATATAAAAACGGTCAAATATACAATCTACATGTTTTCTTGATTGTTGGACTTGTCCTACTAAAATTGTTACATCTTATGCAACTCTCCAACCTTTGAAATTCAACTATTATTTAGAAGAGGAAAACAATAAAAACATGACCATATTTAGAACTTTTCTTTGTCTTCAAATGTTACTTTTGTTTTTGGGAACATTGAAATTTGTGAACTATCAACCCTTAAAAGAGTATATAAACCCTACAAAATTAACAGTTGATAGTTCAGTTTTCTAACCGTCAGCTAGTTGTTTAAACTAGCTTGTTTAGAACTAGAAGCTCATTTTACTCAATACATATTATTTGGATGAAATACTGGTGTTTTGTTAATCAATTTCTACCGAAATTGCCTTTGTTAGACTATTTGTGGAGGAACTTTAAAGGTTCTATTTGGACCAGTACTTTGGCAAGTTGGTAAATGATTGGAAAGGACGATTACAGTTGTGACGAACCAGAAATTCCTACAATTACAATACAACAAAGTACAGTATTTATAAAGAAAACTGGTGTACTGCTCTTGCTGGCAAAATCTATGCATTTGCAAGTTAGAGCAGTACACGGGTTATATTCAATATGTAGCCAACAAATTAAAATTTATCAAGCATAGCCTTTATATTGACTTTACAAAGACAACAATGAACAACTAGGCCATCCATAGCCTTATCTTGTACTTGTTTATCTAGTTCTTTATGTTTATTTTTAGAGTAACATTGAGAATTTAATATTTAGACCATATACAACTGGTTTTCCATCTGGACTGGCTTCAAAACCTGTTTTTTAAGGAGAATCTTTGAATAAGGTCTATTTTATACAAATACTTAACAATAGCATGGTGCTTGAGGTAATTGCGAAACAATTTGGTATTTATACCAAAATGACTAGTTTTGAATTTTGCATCAGTTCTAAAGTACAACGTTTGAAGCTGTTACCCACTGTTCCACTCACCTAAAATCCTCACATTTCTGGGTTTTGCAATATAAAATAAAAGAGAAAAATTATTATTTTCTGTAAATGAAGTAGCATGTATAAAAGATAGCTGGAAAATGTCACATGATCAGACACATTTTAACATGCATACTATTGAATAAATTTCTCTCATATTGTGATTGTCAGGGAGTTGAAACAGTGACTACTGAACTATGAAACTATTTTATTTCAAAACTTTGATTAGGCTATTTCCATGTTTGTTAGTTTGTTTTGTTATTAGTATAATGCTAAAAGAGGTGAGTTTGCATATTATAGAAAACAGTTATAGTATTTTAAATGATATTTTCAAATTGAACAGAATCAAATATGGACATTTGAAAGAAATGAATTCGAAAATGATAATCTGCAAAGTATGGTTGAAAAATATGCAATAGATAACACAATACTTTTAGCAATAACTGATAAGGGATACTTGGAATTAGCATTAAACTTTTACAAGTTTTCAATTGAGAAACATTCCATTAAAAATTTTCTATTTGTTTGTATTCAAAAAGTAACTCACCAGAGGTTGAATAAGCTCAAGATACCAAATGTTCTATACATGAATGATAACAGGGGAAATGAAGAAAGTCTTTATGGAAGCTCAGATTACAAATGGAAAACTCATGTTAAAACCAAAGTAATTCTTGATGTGTTAAGAATGGGTTATCAGGTTGTTATTACAGATGTTGATATTGCCTTTTTAAAAAATCCATTAAAAGAGTTTCAATGCCCACAGTGTGATATAGAAGTTTGTTGAACATTTTCCATAAATTAAATATTTTATGTTAATAATTTTATATTTAAAGGCGACAATGGATGGACATAATATATACAATAGTGGCTTTTACTTGAGTAGACCTACACAAGCATCTATATCACTCCACAAGAAAATGTTGAGTGGGCCAAGAAGAAATTCATCAAATCAAATTTTAATGAATAACATAGCAAGATCAATGACACAAGCCAGTGAAATAAAGATAATGGAATTAACTGTAGATAAATGGCCTTATGGTTTATTATATTTTAATAGACATCCTTGGTTTAGTGAAAAGAATAAGTGTAACAAATGCATCATTATTCACAATAATAGGATAACAAGTAGTCAAGCTAAAATTTATCGTTTTAAAGAGCACCTCATGTGGTATGTGGATGAAAATGGTTATTTCTCTGACAAGAATGTTAAATATTTGTATTATGAAAATAAATTGCCAATCAACTCTAACAAGGTGAATTCTTCTATGAGACAAAGCAATATCTTGGAATTGCAAAATGCATTAATTATTGCCAAGATACTGAATAGGAAGCTGGTATTACCAAGATTTAACTGCACAAAGAGTCAATGCTTTGATTCCCTTCTTTCATTTTGTTCTATTTCACAATTTGCAAAACAGTTCAACAATACATTTAGAGAAAGTTCATTTTTACAGAATCCTCTTGTACCTAGAAACATTCTTCAATCAAAGTCGCCATTTTTCTTTATAGAAAATGCCATTAAAAATAATACAAAAACTATTTTAATGGAATATCCTGATGTGAAAATTATTCAACCTTTGAATATTGAAAATGGTATAAGTGAAAAAGAAATTCTACATCACTTTAATACTAAACTGCTAAGGAAAAAATCTGTCTTACAGTTTTTAGGAATGAAATTTCCATCTACTTCTTTATTATACTCAAAAATTGGAAAACAAATCAATCTGAAATTAAAATTTTCTTGCTATAGTAGTTTTCTTTATAAATGAGATGTTTTTGAATAAATTTGATTTGTCAGTAGAAAAGATGAATCTGTCTAGCTATGCTTCTCTTTTTATAAAAAGATCTTTGAGTACTTTCAAGCTAGGTACTGTGTCAGGTCTACTTCAATATAGGTAGGTAGTATTGAATAGTGGAGTGTACTGGTAACACACTTCCTTCACACTATAGAACTTTCAAGGCCTAACCCTAAACTAATATCTATATATACAGTTGAAGTCTGCCCCAATTCTGAAATAGGATCAAGGCATTTATGCTTCAGTTAATAACTATTCAAACTTGACACAAATTTCATTGTTAGGGACATTGTATTCCATAAACAAAACTCAATATTGTCAGAGGTTGAAGGTTAAGCTTTTGAAAATGGCAGTTAAATAATATGCTATTTTTCTTCAACTGGTTTGGTGTTAGCTAAAAATAAATTGGATTTGAAAGGTTTTCTGTGGTGTCAGTAGTGTGGTTAATTGGTAAATGATTGGAACACTTCCTTCACACTATAGAACTTTCAAGGCCTAACCCAAAAATAATATCTATATATACAGTTGAAGTCTGCTTCAGTAGGAATATCTGGTTTTTTCACAACAGTATTTGTCCTTTTCAATCATTTCTCCTTTAATGATATTACATAATTCAGAGAAAACTGGTAAAAATATTACTATTATATTTTAAAATTAAAACAAACAGTATAGGAAATATTACCAATAGTTAAGGCTACAACACTTTATTTACCCCAGGACATTTTTTCCTGACCCATGGAGCAGTACTTACTTACAACCCAATAGTAGGAAAGTACACTTATAAATAACATTATGGTAATGTACTGCTTTTGCTGGCAAAATCTATGCGTTTGCAAGTTATAAGAATACTGGTTCTACTCAAACCTTTTAAACAAATGTTTAAAAAAAATTGCTTATTCCCAATAATAATACTTAAGCAAGTAACAATATGAGAGTTCAATAGCAGAGCAGATAGTTTGTATAGCAGGTTGCCAAATTACTAAACTATCTTCCTATGTTGAGGAGTAACAATGATATACAGTACAATGATAGAGATAAGCAATACTACTTCGTCTATTGTAGAATAGAGCTGGTAATTATTTCCAGAATTAGAGAGAAAATTCCACAATATCTATACAGAATATCAATATATCAATTGTGAATAACTATAGGCCAATATAACATATTGCTAAGACTCTTGTTCAATTTTTACTTAAATATACATTTTATGTATTTTATTTTATATTCTAATTAATCCTTTGTCAATACCCTAACACCATTTGGATGATACTACAATTTACTGCCCTACTTTGGTCATTTCCATTTTTGAAACTGATACACTTTTCAAGGGAACAACAGAAAGACACTCAACATTCAGAATATTCTTTCATTTTTTTGGCAATTATCGTCTTCATTGCCATTCTAATCTATATTTTCTTTTGTATGTTATGTTATTTTTTTGGCAATAGTTGACAGAGATGGCTAATTTTATGTATTGTTTATGGTTTACTCAGCCAACCATTCCAGGCAATAATCAATTGTTTCGATGAATGTGCCAAACAATGATTATATTAAATATCCAAGGTTTATAGTCTGCCTATCTCAGATTGACTCTTAGGTCACTATGTGCTGCATACTGGTAAGTATGACTATCAGGAACCCCTATATTAAAGTGAATGTTCCTAGCCTAACCCAAGTTCCAAGTTTTCAATTTTTTCCTGACAATCCTAAATATCAGTTGCTGGCTCATCCACTTACAAAACAAGAATTTCTCTCAGCACCCAAATTAAATGTATCATTTTTCAATAATGGCTTGTCAGTTCTTTCTCACCCTACACTCACTATTGAAATGTTCAAACAGAGTATATAGTGCTCAACAAAATTTTTCATACCACTGACTTTTTGCAAAGACTCTATTATGAATTATGCATGTATATTAAATCCTGTTTCCATCTTTTATATATTATTTCCATTTTTTTTGGATACATTTCCATAAAGTCTCCTTTTTGCTGAATTGTTGGCCATCATAAACCAGATGCTTCAATAAACGCCATGATAGATCTGGGGAGTAAGCTGGCCAAAGTAAAAATTTGCACAATCCAATCTTGAAATATTTCAAGATAATTTGGCCTTGTAGCATATGAAAATTTACTTATAAAACTAGAATAAACAGTAGCGGGTGAAACCGTACCCAAGTGAAACCATACCCATAAAAATATTACATTTTTTTAATGTTATTATTTAGAATTATAATAATGGAAGCTACAAAAATAGAAACACTGTTGAAATATAAACTGACAGCAATTTTAAAAATGAAGAAACTGAAGTTAACTTTCACTTTGGAAAGAATTTAATTTGAAACTCAAGCCTTTTTTCATAATTATATTTGGGCAAAGATTATCATTTTAGATTTAACAGAGGTAATTTCATGTGCATTGTAATCTAGATTAATGTTTTATTCATCTTTTCAATACATCTTTTTTAATTTTTTGAAAAAATCCAATTTGGAGACTTGTTGGAATATTTTGAAGCAACATGGATTATGAACTCTATATGGAAACCAGAGAATTGGTCTATATATGGATTATCCATAAGGACTAATAACAGTGTGGAAGGATGGCACAATAGAATGAATACTAAAGTACCATCTAAAGGATCATTTTATTGGCTGCTTGATGAGCTGAAGAGAGAAGTTGATTTGGTTATTATCTATGAAAAGCTTATGTCTGAGAAGAAGATTATCAAGTACCAAAAAAAGCAGTATATTGAGATAGAAAGAAAAATATTTGAAATTTGGGAAAATTATAGACTTGGAGGGCTTTTGGCAGATGAATTATTAGTTCAAACATCATATATTTATGCTCCATAATATTCTTTTTTTTAAATGTTTCTTTTCACTTTTTCCATTCTTTTATCTTTCAAAGTTATGTCTTAATCTATTATCATTTTCTTAGTATTATATATACTTTTCTTTAGTATTAATAAAATTAAAAAAACCTAATATTTCTATGGGTACGGTTTCACCAAAAATGGGTACGGTTTCACTCAGGTACGATTTCACCAGGGTATGGTTTCACCCCTATTTGAATAAACGTGCTCTTGATTAGCCCTGACAAGAAAACAGTAGTATGAAATATCTCTTTTAGCACTAATAATTTCCTATAATAACAAGTAGTAAGTCTCTGAATACCATCTTGACAGCCTGGCTAAAAAAAATTAACTAAAAAGAGGTTGTCACCATTATCCCTATATGATACCAGCCATTGGTCACTATTACAACTCTAAACATATACTCTTTTTATTTTTTTTTCTCTTGCCAAACTCAAAGGAGTGATACGGAATATGTGTTTTGCTTTAAATCTAAGAAATATGATTGTTTTAATGTCATAGGCCTATTAATGGAAAGGCGTAAGCATCCGTCATGCTCAGAAAGTTTAGTGCCATTTATGTGTATGCCCATGTTCAAGCTAACAATTAACAAATTTCAAATATAATGGTGAAGCTATTAGATGCAATAAGAATTTTTACTTTATATTAATCTTTGAGGACCTGAAGTATCCATTCAAAAACTAGCTAAGATTTTTAAATGTAGCCCAATCACAGTGCCAAACATAAAAAAGAAGTGCATTATCTTTTATCCCAGATTTTTTATTGTACTGCTCTTGCTGGCAAAATCTATGCGTTTGCAAGTTATAACAATACTGGTTCTACTCGAACCTTTTAAACAAATGTTTAAAATAAAATGGTTTATTCGCAATAATAATACTTAAGCAAGTAACAATATGAGAGTTCAATAGCAGAGCAGATAGTTTGTAATAGCAGGTTGCTATAAGAATAGTGAGGATTTATATACTTTGAGGTTTTCCTCTAACATCCAATCATCACTTTACAGTTGCCAAAATGTGTAGTTCATATTTATGTTTAGTAACAGGATGTAACGAGGTGGAACATTTAGGAAGGTTAATTGAATTATAACTTGGCCACACCCTAGGCAAGTTAATTAAATTATAACTTGGCCAAACCTTTATTGGTAATTAAAGATGAGCCTTCAAGCTGACTAATCAGACTTATGTTTGGCCAATATTATAGCATTTTCTTGTATAGGTTTTAAGATGTACATGTATAAGTTGCATAAAATAATAGAGTTCAAGCATGTAAAATATAACCAAAGTTGTACAATATTTTTGCCCACAGTCATATGTAATTTACTATGGAACCTGTCTAAATCATTATTTTTCCTGATTTTAGACTGATATGTAGACTAAAGACAAGGTGTCCAAGAGTATGGGAAAAACCTGTCCCTTATTCTAGAAATTTGTATTGACTAAAGTTATTAAAATGAACTTGATAGCTAATTTTAAAATAAATCAGGATCCCTTATCAACCAGAAAAGAGTGGATGAAGATGATAATATTTTATTCATGGGTGAGGCTGGTCCCTTTGAAAATAAAGAACAGGTGGTGTACTGGTGAAAAATTTATTTCTGGATTTTTTGGATTATTTTGAAAGAATCTTCATTAGAAATAATATTTGGAAAATAAATAATTGGTCAATCTACCAAGTGACCATCAGAACCAACAATGATGTAGAATCCTGGCATCATAGACTAAACAGTCACTGTGGACAAAGCATTAATTTTTACAATTTAATTTTGAAGTTAAATCATGAATCAAAGGTTGTTGCCCTTTATGAAAGGTTGTTGTCAGAGAAAAAGATATGTAGGATACAGAAAGTGAAATACAAGGAATTGCAAGGTAAAATATGTTTAGTTTGGGAAGAATTTGCAAATGCTGATAAAACAGCTGATGATGTATTAAGAGAAATTTCCAACTTGTATTTTCCATAATTTTTGAAATACAAATTTTGATGAATATGAAATTCATTATTTTAGTTTATTTTATTATTATTAGTCTATTCTTCAAATTTCATTGTAAGATCAATGATTTATGATATGAGAGCTTGGTTTCTAAGCCATTTTTATCCAAAAATCTAACAATTTTAACAATATATTTCAAACATTAATTAAAAGTAAGAGCTTATCAACTTTCAATTCTTTCAAAAAAGATGATTTTCATTGAAGTACACAATAACTTCATGAGATTGACAGTTTTAGAAGTCAAAATGTTCAACAGTCTAAGAATTATCCATCTTAGGGGTCAACTGTCCAGAGGGGGGTCAACTTTCTGGAAGGGGGTCAACTGTCCAGGGGTCAACTGTCTGGATGGGGGTCAACTGTCTGGGGGTCAACTGTCCTTTACCCGACTTTTATCAAATCATAGAACAGACAGTTTTGTTATAAATACAATGGAAATCAACAATTACTCTGGTGTGTCCAAAGATAACATTGAAAAGAGCTGGGAAGATGTACTTTGTTGTATTGTAATTGTAGGAACCTCAAGCTCTTCACAATTGAATTTGTCCTCTCCAATCATTTACCAATGTGCCAAAGTACTGGTCCAAACAGAACCTTTAAAGTTTGTGGACAAGCTGTCTCAATAAATGAAATTTCTCTAGAAATTTACCAACAAAACTCGAGTATTTCATTCAAAGAATGTTTATTGAGTAAATGAGTTTCTAGTTCTAAGCAAATACCGAATTGACTGTTAGAAAACTGAACTGAAACTGACAAACTAGTGAAATGCTTCTCCAATGATTGACCAATTCGCCAGAACTGCAAGTTTCATTTACAAAATACTGATCTATAGATTGAATTTAGTTTTTATGTATTAAGGAAACACCAAAGGTTAGACATAATCATTTCATATTTCATATGTAAGAGATAAGATATAAATGAAGGATCGACCATAAAGCCAACCTGCATTATTATATGATATTGTGTGAAATGAGGTCAACACTGTAATTATTGGAATATCTGGTTTGTCACAACAGTAGTGGCCCTAAACAATTAATTAAAGTCATTTTAGTTTGAATTAACAAGTTTATAGATTAATGCAATTGTAATATTCAAATTAAGTTATAAATAGCAATATTTAGCTTGAGAATATGTTACCACACATTGTACAGGAACCCTCTCTAGGTTACCTCTACCTGTACAAAGAGCACAGGATAATTCTTATCTATTGTAGAATTAAGCTGGCAAATATCTTCTCAATGTCCTTTTTATCCCCTTGCCAAATCGATCGTAGCGCCATCTATTCTGTCCAATGTTTTTTTCTTATGTGTAAATTCTAATTCCTACAAAATACCGATATGTTAGACTTCCAAGTGCACAACAAATATTAGGATTATTTGCATAGATATTCTACTTTTTCCATTACTCAGCAGTTTTCATCTTTAAAAGCCAAAAACCCACAGAAAACTAATTCATCATCCATACATTTGTCGATATTTTCCTGCCAATTGTTCACGATGTTACATAGACACTTTTTGGAAATATCTTTGCAATCTTGCTCAATCTCTTTCATGGTCGATAATTCTTGTTCTAAATGCTTGAAAACGTTTGAAGTTTCATCATCTTGGACAAGAAGTATGAGACAAAGAGAATCAGAAACTAACATAAAAGGTCTTAAGAATTGCCAATTTATCTTTGACTTTGCCAATAGAATCTCCACAATAGATGACACTGAAAAAGGATTCGGGAAATATCATGCTGGTAAAGTCATTTTGCTCAAAGACAACATTGAACAATTTTTGTTTGTGTGCCCTTTGAAATGCGAGAGCTATTTTGTGTGGTGATAGATCATATCCATACACAATACATCCATACTTTTTGGCCATATGTATTGAACTTCCGCCAATTTTACATCCTATATCTAAAACGAATTCTTCTTTTTGAATATTCAATTTTTCAATAAAATTGAATGTTACTGCTGAAGCGCCATTGCTTAAAAAATCCTCTCCGAATACTTTTTCATATAGAATGACATCGTTGAGTAAATCTCGTTCAGTATCAATATTCTCTCTGCAATCTTTTGCAACTTTTGCAGACATACAGCAGAACTGATTATTCTTTTTGAGTTCGAAAATTACAAATTTTGAAGATTTAATAAAATCAACATTAAAACCATAAATGGTTCCATTGTACTCTTTAAGAACATCATTTAGGATATGAATATATTCTCTGGGCGTTCTATAAAGAGTTGGATTATCAACTCTCACCTTATTACCTGTGGAGTGAAAGCAGCTTTCGTGAATGAATAGCTTATATTAGAAAGAACTTGATAGAGCTCAGTATTTGTTAAATACATAAAAAGCCAATTCGTTGTAACCAAATCAAAGGAATGATTTTTTTCTTTTAAAAAAACAACATCGCAATGTTTGACTTGAACATTTTGCAAAGATTGGTGTAGTTCTCTATTCTTGTCACAATATTCTTTCACAAAATCAACAGCAACAACTTGTTTTGCAGTTTTAGCCAAATGACCAGTAAGTCTTCCAATTCCCGCTCCTAAACCAGATACATCGCCTATCATTCCCAAAGTTTCATCTCTTTCGAAATGATGAAATTCTTCTGCATTACAATGAAATAGCATATCATCGATAGTTGGTCCTGTGTAGAGACTATAAAAGTAATCTTTCATAGCTTTACAAGTGTTTTCCATGACGAAAAGAATAATGTAAATATGCCGATGTGAGAAAGAGATTTCAGCGGTTTGATTTTCTAGACTTTCTCATATAGTATAACACTTTTCTTAACAATAGTGATTGTTGGCGTTGTATTGAATTTTCACATTTACTTTTACTATAGATTTATACCTTAGTTTTTTTTTTAATACTACAAACCTATTGGACTATTGGCTTTCGTTTATTTCTTGGCGAAAGCTATAAACCTATTCATCCAACTGCTTTCTTTTTGTCATAATTTCCAAAAACTCTTAAGGAAAGCTAGGTGGGAAAACGAAAAAAGACAGGCCAAGATCATATCACTCAAAGACATCTGTAATGGATCAAAATAGATAAATTCATTAAGTAAGATTTGACTAAAACTCTCGGTGAGCAATGATAAAAAAATTAGATATTTTCAGGAGGCTCTTGGGTGGATGATTACGGAGCTTGGGCAGATCAGGATGCTGTTGAAAACACCAACAGTTTTGTGGCTTTACCTAACCCTAACGCAGCCCTGGACCCACTTCTAAGAGTTTCATTCTTCCTAGCCCTAAGTCTGAACCCACCTAGTTACAAATCAATTACATTCATAATTTCCCTAAGCAAAAGTCTCACTTCAAAAATACATCAAAATGGGCATTTTCAACAGCCCCCAGTGTTAATTATTGTTAACAAATCTATTTCCAATGTTGAAGGCAAAAGTATCTATTTAATATTGCAAATCATTCTTCTTAGTGCAAAAATTCAGACTAAACTATCACATTGGGCTTTCACATTCAAGCTTTAGAGTTAATTATGATGAAATTGTTCCAGATTGTAATAATAGTTCATCATTAAGAAGTAGCTATTTCCGGTTTATTTGCTCTATATTTCATCCATATGGTATTAATTATAAAACGATTAATTACAGTAAGAAAATCTTAAAAGAAATATATAAATAAAAGGTCACGTGATGTAAATTATGTTTTATTTCTTTTCTTTGTTATATTAATATGTAAAAATTGGAAAATGTGTTTACCTTTGCTAAAAGCTTTTTGTTTTTATAAGTAATAAATGACATTTCTAAGCATATCATCAATGGTAGTTTTAATCTTCCATCTCTCTCTCTCAGGAAATACAAAATTTGAATTTGAAAATGAATAAAACAACAAATATAACTGGCACAACTATTTTTAGTGAATTGGAAAATAAATTACTAGTTACATTGTATTTTAGTCTGTTCACCTTGGGAATGGTACTCAGGACGCTTCTACTTTTTATTATTTTAAAAAAAAGGCATATCAATCAATCAATTGTAATATTTATTCCAACAATGACTATTGCAGATATTTGTATATTAATCTGGAATGTTGCTGAATCAAATTTATTGTTAACATTTAATCTGGAAAGTATACACACACCAAACCACCAGTATTTCTTCTGAAGAATATGGATTGAGTAGAATGAGGATCTAGTTCTAGACAAACAAGTTGAAACAATGGTATTATTAAATGATTGATACAAACAATTTCTGTTAAGCTGAGAAGAGAATTTCAATGATTATAATAAAAAAGAGTACATTGAACATTTTTGTCAAAAAGATTTTTATTCCAATATTTAGAAAGTAATGTATTAATGCAATAAATAGAACCATTAATGGCAATTACTTCCCACACCCTCCCCACTATCCTTGTTCAGTGGATATAGATCTTTCTGTGAAAGGAAGTATTTCAATGATAATTGCTTATCAAAAGGTAATATTGATGTGAAAGTATGTAAAAGAAAAAAAAGGGTTTGTTAAAAATTTTTTAAAATGAAAGATGATTGAACTTTTTAAATGAAAAGTTAAAATAAATTTAAAAAGTATAAAATAAAAATTTTATAAAAAACTCATTACTTTTTCTATAGAAGACTGTCCCATTTTCAGGAGTATATGTTAAAACACTGTTGTTGGCATTGGATAAAATTAAATCCTCTGTAAATGATTGAAAATGTAAACAGAAAATATGATAAAAACTTTCCAATTGTAAAAACTAACAAACAGTTTGATAGAATATTACAAACTATCCTACATGTCTCCATTTGTACTGGTGTTCCAAACTTAGATTGAAAGTATACGAGATTGTCAATCAAATTTGATTGAAGAGTGTCATACTCAGAATACAAATGCTCTGTTAAAAAACTTGGTTTAGTATCCAACTATTTTAAAATAGTTTTTAGTTACCTTCAACTGTTTCATTGGCTGAAATTTAAATAATTAATTCATAGTTAGATGGTTTCAAAAGAATTTGATAAATAATAAAAAAAACTAACTACATAGTGTATTTTTTTTATAATAAACAGCATTTACACCATTGGCAAGATTTGATATGTTACTTATTTGCTCATTTTTTATGCTGCATTTATCTAATGCCTTAAAATCATTGAATGATCTAAAAAAACAAAACAAAATATCAGAAAATATAATAATTTAATAAAATTTGTTAAAGTCTACTTACTTGCAAGTATGTAAATTACTACATAAAATTTTACAAACTTTTACACCACTGTCATAATAGTGAACTGCCATCATTGGAATATATACCATCTTTTTTTCCTCATAGCTTGAATAAGAGCAATCTTTAAAAAAAAACACTTTTCACTTGAGCACAATAATTGTAGAAATTTTACAAAACGTTAAAATTTAAATACTTTTTCCTTCAATTAGATTTGTAGAAGATATAGTAAGCATATAGAATAGTATCCCTTCAGGTAACATTCTTATAGATTTATGAGTTGCATTGGTGCTAATGAAAATATTCAATCATTTTAATTTTTTTCTTTATCCCATTGATTTTTTACAACCTATCTATTGAGAAAAAAAGTACAATGGATAATTAATTACTGTCATGATAGACTATACAACAGGGTTGAAAGAGATAGAAAGAGTGTGTGTATGTGTGTGTTTACACTAAAAATAAAAAGACATATAAAATACCACTAAAAAAACTAAGTGTTAGAACACTAAATAGGACAAATGACTTTATCCACTCTGTACTTTGTTGTATTGTAATTGTAGGAATTTCTGGTTTGTCACAACTGTAATCATCCCTTCCACTCATTTACCAATTTGCCAATCTACTGGTCCAAATAGAACCTTTAAAGTTCATCCACAAGTAGTTTAACAAATGTAATTTTGGTAGAAATGAATCAAGAAAACACCAGTATTTTGTCCAAAGAATATGTATTGAGTAAAATGAGTTTCTAGTTCTAAACAAGGTAGTTTAAGCAGCTAGCTGACAGCTAAAACTGAACTGTCAACTGTTAATTTTGTAGGGTTTATATACTCTTTTAAGGGTTGATAGTTCACAAATTTCAATGTTTATAAAAACAAAAGTAACATTTGAAGACAAAGAAAAGTTGTAAATATGGTCATGTTTTTATTGTTTTCCTCTTTTAAATAATAGTTGAATTTTGAAGGTTGGAGAGTTGCATAAGATGTCACAATTTTAGCAGGACAAGTCCAACAATGAAGAAAACATGTAGATTGTATATTTGACTGTTTTTATATTCTACCTTAATAATGATATTCAATTGATTGAGTTAGTAGATTTAGCATCAGCATATAAGGAGAAATTATATCTGATTAATGCATGTTAAGTAGAACTGTTGGATAGTGAATATAATCTAAACTTAGAATTGAAGCATAATTGATAATTAATTGAACTAGTTTTAGCTGAAAATCATAAATTTAGTGATTAATAAATTGTAATATTAATGCTAGGATTCAAATAGCAATATTCTTTATATAATTTAATAGGTTTTATTGCTGGGTAATGTGTATGCACTACCCTACACGAAACTATGTCACCACTGCTTATCTTTATAAGTGCTATCTGCTAGTACAATACTGGTTCAATACTACTTCTCTATTGTAGAGTATAGCTGAAGAATATATGTGTACAAACATCCCACTCCTTTAAGACCTTGCTTCCACAAAAGGTCTAGGACTTGTGACAATTATGTTATCACCACTTTTTCTAAACATAGGATAATTTTGCAGTTCTATTTCTCCTGATTCTGCTATTGGAGCTGAAGGCAATCTTTTTTTTTGTCAATAGTTTAGACAGTCTGGTAAATTGAACTCTTTTCAGTTTTTTCTTCCAAATAAAGTAAATAAAGTATCCAATTCCAATCAAGAGCATAATTGGCAGGAGGGTGTCTATAAGTATTTTGAAAGGTTTTCTTATCCATGAAGAAAATAGATGTTGTGTTTAGTCTAATTTTGGAACTTCCATTAATTGATCTAAAACATGTCTATTCTTCAATCCAAATAATATCTCAGGTGGGGTTTTGCCAGTGCTTTCAACTGGAATTTGATTTAAACCTGTCTGAATTACTGGTAACTGTCTTGTCCAATCTGTCAAGTGTTCCATAACTACATGTTTATGTAGTGCTTTGCTAAATTCCAAATTCTTTCTTTCTGCTAATTGGGGAACTGTATTGCCATTTTGTTTTTCTTCATTTAATCTACCCTTAAGTAAATTTTGAAAATCAATTACTTCATCAGTTTCACCAATTCTTGATATCCAGTCTGCTCTATTAGTTCTTCCTGGTATGTATATTATTTCAGAATCCATATCCATAAGTGCCATCACCCATTTAACAGTACTTGAATTCAGTTTGTTTTGTACAAATGTTTGTACCAAATTCTGGTGATCAGTGTAGAGAAAAATTTTCTTATACTGTAGATAATGGGAGAATTTTTGTACTGCACAATATACTGCAAAAGCCTCTTTTTGATAAGCTGCATATCTTAATTGTGTATTGATTAGGAGCTTGGAAGCAAAAGAAATTCTTATTTTCTTTCCATCTTCTTCCCATTCTTGTTCTAGAACTGCACCAACTGCATAATTAGAAGCATCTGTTGTTACATAGAATGATTTAGTAAAGTCTGGCAGTTGAAGGATTGGGGGCTATGTCATTACATTCCTTAGTGTTGTATAAGCTTCCTCTGCTTCTTTTGTCCATTTCAGTTT